AAGGGCTTTCTGAGTCACGTGAAATGCATGGTGTGAACATTCAACATGTAGCTGGGCTTGCCACCAAGGAAATGCCCTGTGCACAGCCTGAGCACCCAGTGTAGCTCCCAGGCAGGGGAGGACCAAGAGCAAGGCCAACTGCAGGGTCACATGCTTCATTTTGCTTTCTACAGCACTGATCGACAACAAGAGGACTGGCCTGGTCCAATAAAGATGAGAAATTCCCTCTGCTGAAAATATGCAACGAAGTAGCAGGACAAGGTCCTGGTTCTGTACAATTACCCCCAAATCCAGCACATGAATTCAGAGTCAGAAACAGCTGGTACGCTTGGCAAAGCCCTTCCCAGACAAGACTGATCTCTCTGGGCACCCAACAAGAGCCAACAGGACAGGAGAGCCATATTGTACAATAAAGGCAGATAGATGATGCTCACCTCTCTCCCTCACAATCAGGTCTCCCAGTCTCTAAAAAATGACCCCAAGTAATTCCTTCAAAGGAGGACTCCTGCTAGGGACCAATGGTCCCAGAGACCCAGTACTTGACAGTCCAGGATGTTCTGATGGCCATGTTCACAGCCTTCCCAGACCCTGAGGACACTGGGACATAGTGGTCTTTGTCTTGATTTGCTAGTTTCTTTTCCTATTCATCATCTCCTCCTACTAGGGATGGCCTCCTACAGTGACACTGGGTGTTTTTAAACAGAACAAACATGAGTTTTTCAATCCTAATCTCCCAACAACTCACTCGCCAAAGCCTGTCTAGAGGACTGCACACTAGAGAGGAAGGACAGAGGATCTTGACAGCTTCTCTCCTACTCTAGATGGTCAGGGACTATGATGCCAGGCCCCACTCCTGCCAGTCTTCTACAAAGCCTGGGTTAAGAAAAACTTAGAAAGGTAACAGTTATGTGAACTCCCTAAAAGTGGATGTAGCATGAGAGCTTTGTGACGAACATATGCTGAGGCCCTAAAGTCAATTAAAAACACAGATCAAAAAGTATTGCTACTATGGTTCCAGTTCACATACGTATTAAATTTCCAAATAAAATGTGCTTAACCATGTCTCCACCACTGGTGGATGACTACAGACAAGTTCTAGCTAATTAGGGTGACTTCAATCAAAACTGGTTTCTGAGGGCTAGTTCAAGTCAAGGTAGAGAGATCAGCTTAGAAGGTTATGACTATTGTTCTTTAGAATTCCAAAGGTGTAATCATGATAGATTTTTCTCAAAAGATATAGGATGATCACTGGGGCTTATTATGACGTTTTAAGAAAACTGAAAACTGCATTAGTGAGAAAAATACCAGGACAGTTGTGCCAAGGAATTTTTTCCCATCACAATGCACCTGGCTAATTCTTCAAGGGTAGCAAGGGCTGTCCTATGAGAATTTTTCTGGGAAACCTTATCCCACCCACCCCACAGGTCTGATCTGACCCCTTTAGGCTTCGTTTTGTTCCCAGAACTCAAAGAGCATTTAAAAAGAACATGATCTGAATTCCTCAGGAGGCACAAACTGCTGTTTTGACTTGGTATAAATTGAAGTGCACAGAATTCTTCAAGGAAGCGTTGTTGTTGTTAAATGCCATCGAGTTGGTTCCAACTCATTGTGACACTGTACAGGATTTCCAAGGAACGGCCGGTGGGTTTGAACTGCTGACCTTTCAGTTAGCAGTCCACTGTTTACCCTTCAGTACCACACCAGAAAACCTCTTTCAGAAGTGTACAGACCTATGTTGAGAAACAATAGCTTCCTTCGTATTTTGGTATTTTTGTTTAAAAGGTTTTATGATTTTGCAGCAATACTTTCTGACTTACTCTTATGCAGACCAGGGCTCTAGATGGTTCACTGGCCAAAGAGTATAAGACAATAAGTAGTCAGACACTGTTATCATGGGGGGAAAGGTCAATCCGTGACCCAGGGCCATGCCCTGAAGGAAAACTGCCTGCCTTCTAGCCGCCTGCGGCAGGTACACAGCTCTTGACGGGCACCCTTCCACCATAGCATGAGGGAAAAGGCAGCCTGAAGCCCAAAGGAAAAACCTGGACTCTCCCACGCTCCAGCCATACCAAACAGTGACCATCTGGTGACATCTTATTCTGGTGCCAAGGCCTCAAAGTGATGCTACAGCAGCTGAATCCAGTGTCAGCAAAGAGCCTACCCAGAAAACAGGCACCCACACCAAGGCCTGTCCCATCTGCACTTTGTCCTGGCCAAGAGGTTCCATACCAGGGCCACAGCTCAAGCTCACCCACAGCCAAGACAAAGCTTGTTCTCTTAAGAATCAAGTCAGGACATAAAAGAAAAATCACCCAAAGGAAATCTATGAGGAAGCTTCAAAAGGTTCTTGGGAAAATTCCATTGCATTTTTCCACAAACTTTTTAAAGTCCCTTCGTATAACTGAACCAGGGGCAAGAGGAGGGGTAGTGTTGAGCAATGGGAAAAGAACAGTGATCTGATCATTCCTGCAGTAGATTAGCTACATTTATTAGCGGTTCCTCTGTTTCTTCGGAGGATGAAAAGCAGAGATGTCTGGCACTGCCTGAGGAGAAAGCTAAAGAAATTAGATATGGCACTTTTCAATAAATATTTTAAAGCTTCTTAAAGAAATAAGTGGAGAAGAAAAGCAACTGCTGTAAGGCCTATTTTGCCACTAAAATTGCTCCAAGGAAAGAAAAATACCACAGCACAAACTCAAACAGCCAAGAAAGAAAGACAGACAGCACAGCTTACCCGAAAAATAAACAAAAAACCTGGCCCTGGAACCACCTTGGCCAGCCCACATTTTGCCCATGAAGCAAAAACTAAGCTCTGAAAGAGAGGCAAAGGTGCCTCCCACAGTACCTGTTCCCACATACCAAGTGGCAGGCCCCAGGTATGTATGTGGAGTGCTGATTGGGGAGCAGGCGGTTTCAAGGGTGTGTGTAGTGCCCTCTTAGACGGAGGACAGGAGCGGACACTCCACTCTTGGATATGTGACTTTATTACAGTTTGCCCCCACGTCACAGTGTAGATTCAAGAGACACGATGGCTCTCTATGGCAAATGTTGCTGCTAATTTGCTTTAGAAATGAAATCTCAGGTCAAATGACTTCATGTGGGCTGAAGTTTTATCACATTCAAGTGGGGTTACTTGTCATTCCATCATTGACCAAATTGTGGGAAACACATGAATCCCCAAATAATCTAAAAGGAGGTGTCCCTCTTTAGCTCTCACCCAAGCTGGCCTCTCCCCTCACCCGCCAACTCACCAACCCTCAGGATAAAAAGATGCACTGTTTTCAAATAAAATGAGCTAACAAAACCAGAAGGAAAAGCCTTCACAAACAAGAGTTAACGAATGCCCTGACTCAGCCCAGACGGCCAACCTACAGTGGGTGACGATTATTTACAAGAGGGCGTTAGCAAACAAAATCGGCAGTACTCCCTAAAAGACTCGTACAACTTGTTTTTTTCTATTTCTTTTAAACTCTCTTGTCATAAAAGCCAACTTACATTAAAATATACTTACTACAAGACAACACAACTAACAAAAATATATAATAAAACTTACACAAGTAGAAAATTCTGAGGTATTTCTGGTTTGAGGTGGTCTGTGGTCGTGAAGTTTTAATTCTTTGACTTTTCAAAATTTAAACCTCGGAAGCCACATAACAAAGCATGTGTGGATGTGTGTTTGTTTTGTCTTTAAAAAAATTTGCATGTTTCATAAATTAAGAGAAATTCATATGTTGAAACAGCAGCATTAGGAACATTCACTGACTAGAGCAAGGTCATGGCAGAATAGAAAAATGGTTTTCAGAATATGCATCACTTTAAAGGGTCTGGAGAAAGCTATGCCCACAAGCCACACAAAGGGGACAGTCATGTCACCAACAGGGGCAGACCCACAGCTGTAGGACTCTCAGGGTCTCCAGAGGCGGGCTTGGGGGGCCCTGCCTGGGAATTCCTCTAGTCCAAGCTACACATGGCGTCTCCCTGTGGGCATTTCCCTGAACTGCTCTAGGAGGAAGCAAAGTAGTTCAGCTTTGCTACCATTAAGATATTTACAGCATCATGTCTTGTGAAGACCGTATTCATTACATTGTGGTGATGTCTACCCTTACCTAACCTTAAAATTAGGGCAGAAGTAAAATGTTCTGTCCTATGCCCAAACCCAAGTTAGTGGGGAAAAACTGGCCAGGGCCAGCAAGTGGGTCTGAGCCACACCAGCTTTCAGACTTTCTCCAAACCCCGCTCTTGCCATTAATGCTTGGCCGCCACAAGGTCCTTGCCCTCAATTTCAGGTTACCTGAGAAGTAGCCTCCATAGCAAAGGATGTTGCTCCAAATGTGCCCGAGTCCAGTGTAGCTCTGTCCCAAACCCCACCTCAGCACCGTCCTCCCCTCCAGCTCCAGTCCAAACCATCATCCTCAGCCCAGTTTGTTCTCGGTCAGGGCAACACCCGTTAGATCCGTGAAAGACACATCTGCTGTTTCTTAAGCTTCACTGTCTAAAAGGATCAAAACAAAATCAAAATCAAAGGCAGGGAAGGTTGTGGGGACAGGACAAGGGCTGAGGAAACTCCTCTTTTGAGGAAGGTGTGTTTCTTATGTAACAGTTCTCAAAGGTTCCTCTAGGTAGAGTTTGCAGCATTTAAGTTTCCTAAGACAGGAGATGGGGTTTTTTTGTGTCACAGATTCTGAAACGACAAAGAGGGTGCGGGAAAAATGAACCCCAAAGGACAGGAGGTGACTGAGGCTCTTCAGCATGGCGCTGGTTCTGCATTCACAGCTCAGCACCTCAACGCCTGCTGACGTGTCCGCTGTTTGCAATACAGTAGAGCAATGTGCTGGTAAAAACTGATCCGATCCAAAAAATAATATTAACAATAATAATTATCATAATTATAATAATAATAAAAAGTCAAGGTAAAATAGCAGCTGCATTTTACGTGCTTGTTGGTTTTATGGGAGTTTCCAAAACAAAACACATCTTTCTTTTTTTTATCCTTTCTTCAGTTCTTCAGATCCACTGAGTCTGGAGAGATAGTAGTGTCTCGGGCTTAGATGCTTGACTCTTTAGGGGGCAAGTCCACGTTGGTGACGGAGGTCACCAGGGATACAAGACAGTCCGAGGTAGTGCCGTTGACCGACCGCCGGATCAGGGACACCCGCTCCTCCACACAGCCGGCAGACAGGCGCGCCTCTGCATCATGGTCCCAGCATTCCTCAATGGTCACACAGAGCTGGGCCAGGCCCTGCAGTCAGGCAGACGAGGAGAAGAAAGACACCTTTGTTAAAGTCTCCACAATGTTCTCCAACCATGCAGTAAATCAAGTAGCAAGGGCTCAGGCAACTCTCCGCCCTGCCCTGCAGCCTCCCTCTAGAGCCCCAGCCAGAGGCTCACTGAGCCTCCACCAAGAAAGGAGAACAAAACCCCCCGTTCAGTTCCCTCCTGGGCAGACACAGCTGCCTGTCATGGCGCACTTGTTATCATTAGTGAATCAAGTTGGTTCTAACTCATAGCAACCCTGCAGTGTTTCCAAGGAGCAGCTGGTGGCTTTGAACCGCTGACCTTGTGGTTCTCAGTCCAGTGCATATCCTAAAGCACCACACAAAAAAATGCAAAACACAAACTGCGTAATAACGGTCAAAGGTGTGGCTGTCCCAGTCACATGCTACTTGACCCCATCCCTTGAAATAGCGTCCCAGATTCCATGAGTCATGACATCCCAGGATGGACTCAACTGCATGGAGTTGGGGAAGACATCTATCTGGATGGCAACATGCTGGTGTAGAGAGGACTCCAGTCTGCTCTGGGCCAGGCCACATCTGGACCTCTAGACGTGGGGCTAGGCATCAGGGAACGGACTAGCTTCCCCTAAAACCAAGCTTGGGAGACTAGGAAAATCTAAGGCAGAAGGTACAGACTCTAGCTCTCTCTAGGCCTCAGTTTACTTCATTGATACTCCTGGGCTTTAGGGTACAGCATGAGCCTGTCAGTTTGACACCTTATGGTGGAGTGCTAGTGGACAGTGGGCCTAAGCTGTCCTTTTTCTGAATTAGTCCTGGAGTAGGCAGAGAAGGAACTCTATGAAGATGACTCACAGGGCTAGGGACTTGTGTGCAGCACCGCCAGATTGGAAGAATCCAATGCCACATGGCTCGGCCAGTCAGAAAACAGTGGACACTTAATCCACATTAAGCATTCAGAGTGACAGATATCCTGCCAAGCATTTTACAACTCATTAAATGTCTGATGGTACTACCATGACGGAATGAACAACTCAGAGAGACAAGGCAATTTGTCCCAAATGGGCCAGTAACTGGATGGCAGATCCAGAACTCAAACCAAGATGGGGTAGGCCCAGATGTGTTTATGCCTAGGTAGCACATGGGAGTCACACAGGAGACGACCTGGGCCCTGAAAGAGCTAGCCATCAGCTGACATCACTCCCTGGGACCAAACCCAGAGTGGCCCTTGCAGAGAACAGAACTTCTCCAGACACTGTCTTTGGTGGAAGGGAGGGGACTAACCTGCAGTCTGGCTCACCCTCACTCTGCCCACTCCCGTTCCTGCCACACATGGAGGGGCTCCCCTCTGTGGTCCCCACAGTCACCTGCCACCCAGGCCCTGGGTCCTCACCGGGTGCTTCAGCCAGTGATCCTTAATGGTAGGTCGCATCTTCTTGTGCACAACTACCTCCTGCAGCTCCTCGAGCGACGGGTGCTGGCCAATCTCTTCCTCAAAGGGCAGCAGGTACTCATCCACGGGCCCTGGGTGTGGATGGAGTCCTCAGGGTCACCTTGAGGGCCCCACTCCCCAGCCCCCACCCAGGGTGCTCAGGGCCCCTGTCCCACTCACCATCCGCAGCCTTGCAGCGCGACACCAGCTCCCACAGCACCAGCCCCATGGCATACATGTCGATGCGCAGGAAGGCATCTCTCTGGAAGTTGATGGCTCCCTCCAGGACCTCAGGGGCCATGTACCGTCGTGTGCCCACCTACATGAAGACAGGGCAGGGCCGAGTCTACTGTCACAAACGCACACACAGCTGGGGCACCAGACAAGAGGCGTCAGTGGGATCAATGCTGGTTAGCCATGTTTCAGGGAGGGTTAAGGAGCCGTGGTGGTGCAATGGTTAAGTGTCCCGCTGCTATGTAAAGGATGGTGGTTCAAGCCCACACAGCAGCTCCTACCCAATTACTACGTCAATACCACAGGAGCTACCCAGTTTTACTGAAACGAAAACAAAAGGGAGGGTAGAATACTTAAAATATTAAGCGACTGCTTGAGAATGGTTTACTTAGGGTTTGTTCTGAGTAACTTTTCCTAAGTTGCTGCATTTTTTGTACGTTTCTATCATATTTTGCTTAACAATTAAAACTGAAAGAGGGAGAGAGAAAGATAAAGATTATAAGGACAAGTGGCCAAAAGCCCACTAAGGAACCTGCTGTTTCTAGGCTGAATGGCTGATGGCTATGCCACTCACCCGGCCCCCACTTCAAGCTCTGTGTTCCCCACCAAAACTAGGCTTCTCTGAGCACAGATAGCTCTGATCATACGTAGAGACCCCTGTCCCTGTGCATACCCCACAAGAAGGCAGAGTGTCCAACCCTGTACCAACCTCCTTGCAATGTCCCCGAGGCCTGTTACCTGACCATGGGTGTCCCCTGGAGGTTTCCCTGGCTCAAACCGAACAGCCAAGCCAAAGTCAGCCAGCACGGCTGTGAGGTCGCTCTTCAGCAATACATTCTTGCTTTTAAAGTCCCTGTGGAGACAGACAGGCAGTGCTGAAGCTGAACATCATGGGTCACCCTGCCTGGCTTCTGGCTTCCTATTCAAGACTTCCAAATACTAGAGCCAGTGTCCTACACATTCCAGGGACCCGAGACCAGCCGTCCCACCCTTGATCTGAAGAAGAAAGTGTACATGGTGGTGAGGCAGGCAGAACCCCTAGCTGCACCTCTGATGGAGGGCTCTGCCAGGGCTGGCAAGGAGCCCATCCCAGGGGCTACACAGAGCACTTCCCAGTCCTGAAAATATCCAAGGGTGTCTGGAGTTTTCTGGGACAATGAATGTCATGAATTTAGAATTAACCTGCCATTTCTGAGAGGCTCGAGGCTGCTGTGAAGGCAGCGGTAGAGCAGAGCACGCCACTTCCTTCACACAGAGATGCGTGTGAAGATTGGGCCTCACTTTCCCCAGTTCCTGTAAGCTTTATGTTAAGAATTAAACTGAGTAACAAGTGAAAATGCTTAGGGTCACACATGCCATATCTAGAATGCATAACTATTGGGTATGGAGTCCTGATATGGTGCTACATGATAAGCACTGGAATGTTAGCTGCAAGGTTGGCAGTTTAAACCCACCAGCTGCTCCAGCTCAGAAAACCTATTACAGGGCTGCTATGAGTTGGAACTGACTTGATGGCACTTAGCAACCAACAATAGCTGTTAGGTTGAAGCACATGGCAGAGTCGGCATCCTGTTGGGTTTTGTTGTAGCTGTTGTTTAGCATCTGGCCAGTTTTGACCAACAAAAGTGTCCATTTCACAAAGTCAGTCTTCTCTGATTACAGTCATGACTATTCGAGGCTCCTTCTTCTCCCTCAGAGCCACAGGGGCAGACCGCACAGCATGGGACGGTGCAGAAGCCACTCACTATCTCGATGTTCCCCATCCTTACATCTGTCTGCACTGAGAAATGCAGGCCCTCGCTCCCAGGGTGGCAAAGAGGTCTTTACATGAACTGGTGCTTCTCAAGTGACCGGAGCAGTGCCAGCCATTTAGTAAGCACTGTAGTGGTTACGAATTGGGCTGCGAGCCTCAAGGTCAGCAGTTCGAAACTCCCAGCTGTTCCGTGGGAGAAAGATGAGGCTTTCTACTCCCGTAAAGATTTACAGCTTCGGAAACCCTGTGCAGGGTCACTATGAGTTGGAACCGATTCCACAGCACACAACAACAAGATAGCAAGTACAACCGTGGTGTGGCATTGTGGGCTAATGCGCTGAACTGCAAAGTCAATGTGAACCATAAGGTCAGTGGTGGTTCAAGCTCACCAGCTACTCCAACTCAACGGCACTTAACAACATAATGGAAAGTGGGGTCCTGCTGTGGCGCTGTAGGGTAAGCAGTGGATTGCTAACCACAAAGGTGGTGGTTCAAACCCACCAGCTGCTCTTTGGAAACCCTGTACAGGGTCGCTATGAGTTAGAAGTAACTTGACGGCACTTAACAACAACAACATGATGGCAAGTTAATGCAATGGTTCCCAAAGTGTGACCCCCACTCAAGATTGTTGCAGGGATCTGCAGGGTCAAAATGATTTTTTCCCATGAGACTCTTTGAAAGTTCATTTTCTCAAGAGAACCCAGAGAATTATGCAGCAGATACATGATGCAGAGAGTCCTGGGGTGGTGATGTAAGATAAAGCATTGGACCACAAGGCCGGCAGTTCAAACTCCTTGGAAACACTACACAGGATCATTATGAGTCAGAAATGACAACAACAACATGGGACACGAAGCTATCAGTCTATCAGGTAATGGAATGTGTGTGCTCTAATACAGCAAATACCAACACACAAAATCCACATATATCAAAGTTCTGTTTGATAGAGGCCTAAAAGGGTCCTAAAACAAAAAATACTGAGAACCGCTAACTCTAAGCCAACATGACAAGCAACAGATGTGGCACTTCCTCATATGGTCACTAGAGGGCAAACATACACACAGAGCAGGTGGAAGGTAGGCAACTCTCCATGCCCACTCTCCCTGACACACTGTAAGCAAGCTTTTAACAATAGAGACTACCACCCCGGCCGGGCCTGGCTCTGGCTTTCTAATGCTCTTGCAGCGCCAGGCCCAGTATTAGGAGGGCACTGTTGACCCAGGTACCTGTGAGCGATGGACGGTTTATGGCCCTCTCCACGGCACCAGGGCACGTCCTCATGCAGGTAAGAGAGGCCTCGTGACATCGTCTCTGCCACGTGACACAGTTCGTTCCACGTGATGATGTTCCCTTTGAGGTAATCCGTGAGGGAGCCCTGGAGGAGGCAGTACTGAGCTTTGGCACAGACGTTAGGTAGCGGATCGCACCCAACGCCAGCCCTGGGAGGACAGCTTAGCGGAGTTAGTGTTCTACAGAAGGCAGATGAGGCAGGCAGGCGGGGATGGAAGTCAGAGGGGGGTTTGGGAGCAGTGGTCACCTAATCATGAAGGGCACCATGTCCACACCTATGACAGGGGTTACCAACTGTGGAAGGCTCACCTTGTCGTGGAAGGCCGTGATGAGCCAGAGCTCCACCTCGAGGTTGGAGCCGCGCTTCTCAGCGGCGATAAACTGCAGCAGGTTCTCGTGCTTCATGCCCGGAGTGCTGAAGATCTCCCGCTCACTCTGCCAAGATTGCTTGTCCTGCAGTGGGATTCCACTTATCCAACAGCAGGAGGGCCACTCCCGCCAATCCCCACACATGGCCTCCAGGCCTCAGGATGGATCATGGGGAGTCAGAAGTCAGGGACTGAGCCAGACCCTGGAGCATCTGGGCAGTCATGATCCCAGGGTCAGAAGGGGCCAGCAGCCCCACAATTCACAAATGGACCACTGAGGCCCAGAGAGGAGTAAGTGACCCAAGGTTACACGACAGATGAGAAGCAGAGCAAGCAGAGTAAGTGTCCTGGGTAGCTGCTTGGGAGGGCCTTGTGTCTAGGGTCTCTGAGTAGAACCTGACACCAAAAAAAACCCACCTGAATGAAAAAGAGTTTGTCTGCAAAACCCATCCAGCTCCTGGTATGACACTGTAGGATAAGCACTCAACCAAAAGGTTGGTTTAAACTGTCAAACTCACCAGCTGCTCCACGGAAACCCTATACCTAATACAGGTTGCAATGAGTTGGAAACTACTTAACAGCACTTAACAACTCTAGCTCCTGGTGTTGCACTGAAGGATCAGCACTGAAATTCAAACCACTAAGTCAGCAGTTCAAACCCACCAACTGCTCCTCAGAAACCCTATATAGGGTTGCTGTGAGTTGGAACCAACTCAATGACACTTAACAACAACCCTAGCTTCTGGTGGCTCAGTGGGTTAAGCCTTGGGCTGCTAACCAAAAGGTTAGCAGTTCAAATCCACCAGTCACTCTATGGGAGAGAGATAAGGCTTTCTGCTCAACTAAAGATTTACAACCTCGGAAGCCCTATACAGTGTGCTATGAGTAGGAACCTACTCCACACACACACACACACACACACACACACACACACACACACACACTCGCTCCATGAACTTTCACTTTCTGTGTGAAGCCTATAGACCAGCCCAGAGTCGGATGAGTAACCACTGCGATGGGTACAGAGGGTGGCCGGCTTTGCCCCCATCCCACTGTGTACACAAGGCTGGGACTGTCTTGGTCAGACAGGTCCAGAGCTCAGGTCACAGTGGGAGTGAATGGTCTGTAGTCCATCAAGCACCCACCTGGAGTGGGAAGATCTTGACAGCCACAAAGTCGTTCATGAGCTGCGCCTTCCAGACACAGCCAAAACGTCCCCGAGCCTTGATCTCCAGCAGCTGCAGTGGCTTCAAGCCCACCAGAGGGGACGGGGGAGGAGGCCCAGGGTCCTAGGAGAGAACAAGGACTTACTAGGGTCTGGTCTGGCCTCTCCAAGTCCACCCCTGCCCCTGCTCCAAGGCGGCCCTGTCTCACCTCGTGAATGTCCACATGGCCATAGGGAGGCTTGCGATGCCGGTACATCCAGAAGGCCAGCAGGACAATGAGGGAGAGGCCTCCGATGGGCAGCAGCGAGTAGGCCAGCACCGTGAGCAGGGTGGGGGCTGTCGGGGGTGGCTCGTACGTGACTGGGGGACACAGGGAGCCCTGCGTCACACAGCCCGCCCACCCCCATACCTCCAGGGCCAGGCCATGGGGCCCTATAACCACTCTCCACCCAACTCAGGAGCCAAGTGCTCCAGGGCCCAGGAGAGGCCCAGATCAGATCCCTCCTCCCAGTGGCCCCCTCACCTTCTGGGCCCCCAGCCTCCGGCAAGTGGGTGAAGCGCTCGTTGCAGAAATTGCCTTCACAGCAGCAGAAATACACCTGGGGGTTCTCCTCAGTGGCCACACACTCCTGCCTGGGGGTACATTTTTCCACACCGGCCTTCAGTGGGGCTTCCCAGCCAAACCCCTTCCCACAGACGGGGAGCCTCAAAGGCAGTCCTGGGCACTGACTCCAGGCAGGAGACCTGCTGAGACCCCTCATCAGGGCTTCCCTCCCACACCTAGCTTCCCAGCACACCTATCGTAGCAGTTGAAGTCGTCCAGCCAGCAGCCCTTCTTGACCAGCTCGATGGTGCCGGAGCTGTTGCGCCAGGAGGCGTAGCAGTGCAGCCGCTTGTCCTGCTCGCCCTCACAGCGCTCTAAGCCGCTCTGGTTGGTGCGCTCCAGCTCCCAGTTGGCGTTGTAGTAAATGCACTCCCTTGTCTCGGCCTCCCCACGCCCAGAGCCTGTGTCCACAGAGACAAGAGAATGGACTAAGTATGTCCCCTGGGATCTGGGCCAGCCAGGGAGAAGCTGGGTGATGGGCAGGTGTCACTAGACCACCACCAATGCTGGGACTCTAAGCCATCCATCCATTCTACCTCTTGCTTACTGTGTCCCTGCCCCATCTCATCTCCCCAAGCCTAAGCAAGAAGGAGATGGTGGCCAAGCCTAACTCCACAGAAAACCAAATAAACCACCCGCCAGACTTACGGCTAGGTTCATGGGAAGTGGGGCTGCCCCCAAACCACCTCCTGCCACGGGGTTTCCAAGACTGCAGCTCTTTACGGAAGCTGACTGCCACGACAGTTCTGTGAAGGAGCTTGTGGGTTTGGAATGCAGCCACCAAGATGCCTTTGCTTAACCCACTATGCCACCATGACTACTGCAGCAGAAATTAACAGACCCCTCAACACCTGTGCACACAGGCAGCGTCCCTTAAACAAACAATAAATAAGGGGGAATCTGTGGCAGACCGTGCAGACCCGGTAAGGAGGTCAGGTCCCTGTGGGCCCAAACGTTGCTGACCGTCCAAACCATAGCCACCTAGCAGACATAGCAAAATGTCCTTTATCTGATTATTCAGTTATGCTGGTTAGTAATCTCATACATGAGCCCTGGATATCCACAGATAAATGTAAAAACCTTCCCTAAAAGCCGAGACTGTAAATTCCAAAATGGCAAGTTTTTCCCAAAAAAAAAAAAAGCTAAAGAGGATAGAGAGAAACACTGTTAACTGATGATATATGGAGGGGAGTATAATCAATATAATGAAACAAGTCATATGAATGGTTGAATGAGAAACTGATGATGTGCCCTGTAAACTTTCACTCAATCCAAAATAAAAACCTTTATTAAAAAAAACAAAACAAAACAAAAAACCTGTGCACATTAGAATTCCTGCATGTGTTAAAAATACACATCCCTGAGTCCAGTCAAGACCTATTCAAGGGGACAGACCTCCCCCAACTCCCAGCTGTCTCCGTGATTGTGAGGTAGACCTCAGGGACCACATGTGGAGATACTACATGGAAGGCAGTTTCCCACGGCACCCGCCTTTTACCCTGCCCCAGGCTCCCCACAGCACCCCATGGAAGCATGGCAGGAGTGTCCCCCATAATACCCTAAAATGTACAGCCTGGACAAGAAGCAAGGACCCTCCAGTGTCCTACCCACACCCAGCAAACACGCAAAATGTTCAGCAAGGCTGGAGAACACTGGAAAGACCAAGAGTCAGGCCCATGTGCATAGGGTAAATCCCCCAAATCTGTCCCCAAGATCCTGAAACCTTATGCTCAGAAAGAGGAGGCGACTATAGGTGAGGTACCACCACCTCTGGGATTCCCTGCCACAGTTTCTTTCCCAGGGCACCCAGGATGAAGGGAGGAAACAGGGAGCAGGAGTATTCCATCTACCCATCCTCTTCACACCTCGGGGGTCTACTGAGGGCCCCATGCCTGGGCATCTCCCCACCACTACTAGTGCTACTCCAGAAAAGAGAAAAGAGGAGTCAAAATTACACCTATGGAAGGAAAGCCAGCCAGGAAGGGACAACCTACTCCCATCCTGGGGGGTGGGGAGCAAATATCCTGAGCCCCAACCCAGTCTCCTCTCCAACCCATCAGTGGCCACTGCCAGGAAGAACCTGGTTCCCTGTGGTACATCCAGGAGAGGGGCCCTGGTTGGCTGTTGGGTGGGAAGGGGCCGCCACCTCAAGAGTGGGCGATGCTCTGGTCAGATCTCACCCTTCTGCCTCACCCTGCAATGACAGGCGGGGTCCTTCCAGAGGGACCTAGGCAGGGGCAAGTAGGAGAGGCCAAATGCTGGGGCCCAGATCCCGACCAACACTTGTGTAAAGAAGAAGAGCAGCCTCGTGAGCAGTCAGACAGCTGGGATTTAGCCTGGTCCAGAGGAAGGGCCTCAAGCTCAGGACTTTAGGCCCAAGGGGAGAACGCGGGGAGAAGGTGGGGCGAGGTGGGGCAGGGCCAGGAGCCTGCTCATCTGCAGCAGCATGTCATGGCTGGGCTACACGGAGCGAGCACCCAGTTCTGGGGATACCACTAGGGGCGCCAGCAATTCTGCTGGGGGTCCCTGTAAGACGCCCTTGAATTGGCTCAGCCTCTGAGCTACCACATGCTGCTGCCTCCAGTCACAAGGGGGCTCACTACCATCTTCCCTCCAGCTTCAAATCAGGCCACCTCTTCTTCCCAGCCCCTCCTGCTGCCCCCATCACATAACTTACCACCCTGGTCTAATTGCCTGTTGTTACTATTTAATGGAATTTCTCAGACATTCAAATAGCGTAAAAATAGCGCAACCAAAAATAATCTCCAGGAGGAAATAACAATATTAACATAAGAAACACTCCCGCAGGAAACAATACAGGGCAAATGTACTTGACAGCCATGTTTTAAATGACAGGCATCGCCTACAAGACTGGAACTCGCCCAGGCTAGGGGTGTGGATGATCCTGCTGACTACTGTGTATCTGCAGTGCTAGAGCCAGTCCTGGGCATGGAACGATATTTCCTGGACAACAAGTGAGGGAGCCTGCAGGTCCCAGGGTTCTCTAAAGGATTCCATCTCCATTTAGGTAGCAAGCCTCCTCTGTACAAGTCAGCTCAACATTATGAGTGGCCTCGGGCTGCTGGTGTGGTGCTGTAGGGTAAGCAATGGACTGCTAACTTAGAGGTTGGTGGTTCAAACCCACCAGCCGCTCCTTGGAAACCCTACAGGGTCACCATGAGTCATAACTGACTCAGGGCCCTTAACAACAGGTACAAGGCTGGCCTGGTTCCTCTCTCCAGGTCACTACCTGTGGCAGGGCTCAGATGGAAAGGGTCCAGAATTCCAAATCCTAAGGCACCAGGATGCCACCCACCTCCATCTGACCAGATCCTCCTAACGGCAACCAAGCAGAGGGCAGCCTAGAGTTGGCCAGACGCAGTGCAAATCCTGGCTCTGACACTTCCTAGTGTGTGAGCCAGCACTGATTGCCTAGGGAACCCCTACTTCTGGTTCCTGGCTTGTAAAAGGCCCATAACAACAGTACTTACACCTACCTCCAAGGGCTGTTGCCAAGAATTAAATGAGTTACTGCATTTTAAAAGTGGTTAGAATAGCATCCGGCACATTATAGAGTAATAGCCCTTCCTGCTGCCCAATGTCTCTGGTTTACCTTCTCAACGGTGTGCACACCCATGCCATACTCAGAGCCTAAGGGGGCCTGGGCAGGCTACACGTCCCTCCCACACCACACCCAGACTCCGCTGCCAGCTGGAGACCCAGGGTCCCTCACCCCCTTCCTCCCTGGCACTGAGCTTCTTCACACACTCAGCTATTTATAGCCTCTGGCAGGACTCCAAATACAAGGCCACCTCGGCCTTTTAATAGAGCAGGGCTCCCGCCCACACCCTCAGGGTCAGGGTCTCCACACAGGAGGCTCCCATGAACCCCCACCCCCACATCTTGCTAAGTCACTGGAAGGAGGAAGCAATGCTCCAAACCGGAGTACTTGCGGAGTACTTGTGACCCCCCAACACACACTGGCTGCCTCTCAGCCCTCCCCTCTAGAACACCTGGGTAGGAGCCACAACAAAAAAGAATTCATTTAAAAGTGGCAAGTAGCCTACACTTCAGGGGAAGAAGCCCCACCAGCCCATGCTCCTGGCCCCTCAGTCCAGGCAGGGTAAAGAAATCCTACTGTAAGAAACCATACATTCAGCTCAAAACCCACTTCCCAGGCAGCTGGACCTAAAATGGGCCAGTCTTGATGCTGTTCGTGTCCCTCTGAAAGCAGTTCAGTGGGTGGTGGGCATGCCCCACTATATACTGGGGATAAAAGGGGTGTTCCCACCAAGCTCCTGCCTAGACTCAAAGTGCAATGAGGAGAGAAGAGAGGGAAGGGCCAATCAAAGGAAGACAGGCAGAGCCTTCATGGAGAAAGTTCCTAGCTGGAGTGCCCATGATTCCCCTGGGTGAGCTCTAAGCCTGGGGAGCCCCCAGTCCAGCCAACACCTCCCAGAGGAACTGCAGTCCCTACAGTTGACACAGCTCTAACACTCTGCTCTTGGCACCTGGAGACCCCACTGTACCCCCCTCCTGCCAAGGCCCACCTCTCAGAGGCCTCCATGTCCAAGAAGCCAAGAACGGATGACTGACTAGGGGCCCACCTCTCAGAGGCCTCCATGTCCAAGAAGCCAAGAACGGATGACTGACTAGGGGCTGGGCTGGGGCAGTGGTCTCCCTCAGCCCTACCCAGAGGTCTGTGGAAAACGGCTTCCAGGGCCATGTCATAACTCTTTATTTCCCTGCTGGAAATTAAGTTGGAACCGAATCCGCAGCCCTCTTCACCAGGATCAGAGGAAGGATGGCGGGGGAGGGGACCAAGGAAGCTGAAAGTGCTCACTGGAGCAAAGGGGTAAAGGACACTAGAGAATGAGACACACAGTCAGCCGTACTTGGTGACATAGTACACACAATGGGGCAGAAAAGAAACCAAAATGCATCTACATTTGGCCTTGGAACATCTTTTACATGCGAAAGATACTCTTTAAGTATTTGTTTCTAGCAGCCACACATTTGCTTCCCCACCACCCTTCATTCTGGACAGTCCTAACTGATTCACATTTATTTTATTTAACAAACATGTGCCATATCCCATATACTAGACCCACGGTGTCATGCGGTAGGACAAGCAATGGACCGCTAACCACAGGTCAGCAGTTCAAACACACCTCGGAAACCCTCGGACCTGACTGCACAGCACTTAGCAATGACATTCTACACATTTTATAAATAATTTATCTAATCTTCCTTAACAATGAATGCTGTAAGGGGCCTCAATTTACAGAAGAGGAAACAGAGGCACAAGTCGGGTAAGTAGCTTACCCAAGTTATATCTAAGCACCAAAACCAGACTCAGAACCCAGGCAGCCTCGAAAGGCTGTGCCTCTTGTCGGTCCAT